GCTTTTATGTTTTTAGATACATTGCCATCAGGGTGTAAAAGATTTGTCAAATTATATACCAAAAGAATACCTTCCGGAAGATTATAGCGGTCTTCAGCCGTCCTTGGAGGAGCTTCGAAAAGATATATTTAAGAAATTTGAAGCCAGGCAAAGCTTTTGGGAAAAAGAAGAGATAATGAGAAAAGAGTGTTACATGTCGAATTAACTAATTAAATAAGGTACCTTGGGGTAATATGGCCCATTTTCAATTTTTTGACCCATAGAACAAAAAACATATTTATTGTAAAAATCATTTCATCATAAAAAATAACTAGTCAAACAACAAACTCAAACAAAACATTCTAAATGCAACAAGTCACTCTTTTTAAATATAATCTGGTTTTTTAAAAAACTGCAAAAGTGGGCCATATTTTTGCCTTTGAGGCTATTAAGGCCCACATTGAAACAGAAGGACGAAAATATGGCCCGAGTTTACGGACATATAAATGTGTGACGTGTGACATATTAAGCACTGTCGCATATCCTCAACACGAGCCACGTTACATACTGTACACATCCAGTTGCTGATGTCTGATATGTTTTCCTGCTTAGTCGAGTGCTTAGCAGTTGTTTGAAGTTTGTTTTTTGTCAAACCAGATGAAACATTTTCGGAAAATAGATCTCTTTTTAGCACTTGAGCTTTATAATTCATTGCCTTTCGCCTTGGAGTTGTTTGTCTCTTTATAATAAAGTCCGGAGTTGGTAAAAGTTGTGCAATTTTCTTGGTTTCTTTTTCTTGGCTGACAGGCTTGATTATTTTGACATCTAAAATGTTTATTTTGGGATTTTTTAAAGCCGATTGTTTTTCTAATGGTTCGGTCCAATATGAACATCCTGCTTTTGGGCTACTTGTTTACTTTAATGGTTCGGTTCAATGTGAACATCCTGCTTTTGGACTACTTGTTTGCTTTAATTTCTTAGCTAATAGATTTAGAGGAAGGTCATCGTCGGAAGAATCAGCATCGTGGTTTGGCTCCAGATTAATTTCTCTAAATGTCAACTCCGATGGTGCGAATGCTGTTTCGGAAATTACTGTTGGATCAAAAGGAAAGATCCCTGTGGACCGAAATCCGCTTTGTATATTGGAAATACTCATGGACTGCTTTCAAACTGGACTCAAAACTTTCCCAAAATTTTCTTTTTTTAACTTCCTAATGGCAGATGGATTGTCGTTCCAGTAGCGCAAAAGTTCATTTATCCCAATAATGTTTGAAAGCTCTAAAAACTGCTTTGTCTAATGGCTGGAATTTGTGGGTGGTGTTTGATGGGAGGCAGTACAAAGAAATATCAAACTGGTTTGCTGTGTCCACGACTGCAAAGTCCAGATGACAGGAGGCGCCGTCTAGGATCAACAAAACTCGCCCTGCTGGCTTAAATTTAGAAAAATGACGTAGCCACTGAACAAATGTCTCCCTAGTCATGCTACCTTTTTCCGTCATGGCAACTGTGGAACCAAGTGGAAAATGTTCCTTAAATACTTCCTTTAATCTAGACCCTTTGAACAGGATCATTGGAGGAACAGCATGACCCAACGCGCTAACGCAAGCTACTACTGTGCAGTTTTCTGCATGCTCATTGGACACTAAAAGAACGCGGCGAGATTCCTTTTTAGCTAACACCGATTGATTGTGATGTAAAGTCAATCGACATCCCTTTTCGTCAATATTGAAGATTCGTTCTGGGGAATCCTTGATGCCTAATTCGGTTAAAATATCATCTAGTTTAGTAAAGTGATCTCTAGCAATGACTGGGTTTAATTTTTGCGCTCGGGCGGGATTTAAATTTTTAGACTTTCTCTGTGAGATGGTTTTATTTCTTCTTAAAAATGATTTGTACCAATCATATCCTGCCATTTCTTTTTCAGTGTTGAATTTATGGGGTATATTGTTATCAATACAATACCGAAAAACAATTCTTCTTAAGGATTTTGGTACTAGAGGTACGCCGATCTCTGCTAGTCTTACAATCCGACCGACAAGTTCCCGTTCTTCTTCCTCCGTCAGTAAGCTCCTTCTGCCCAATCGTCTTTTCGCACTTCCACTCTTTAAATGATTTCGAAGAGTGGTTCGGGGAATTCCACATTTTCTTTCAACTTCTCTCTGTGACACACCTTTCTTTAGCAGGTCTAGAGCTTCACTCATCATCTCTTCATTCCAGTTGGCGCGAATACCCTTATTTGCCTTACCCTAAAAAAACATATTAAGAATAGGATGAAATTATGGCCCAAGGCGAAATTATGGCCCATATTTCCGTTTGACTCGTTTTGCAATTTTAAGGTTATGTAGTCACATTGGAATAGCGAAATCGAATACAAGTAACTATAAAGTCAACAAGTAAATAAACACCTACCTCTTTTTTTTAACGTAACTCGAAATATTCGCGATTAAAAATTGCCTAAATTTATAAGAAAACACCGGTAAAACAGCAAGGCACGTCGAACTGGTTTCTGCGGTAGATGACCACGTGTTGCAACGTCGTAATGGTCTCTGTAGAGATATAACTTTCTAAACTTTCACTACTCGTAAAGAGATGGCGCTACATAATACAAAAATATCTTGTGGGCCATATTTTCGTCCGGGCCATATTACCCAAATGTACCTTATGTGTTCATAGTTCTACCAAAAAAATGTGATTAATATATTTATTTTTATTTGAATTTGATATTTTTTTACTAATAATAATAATATAAACCACATGTTACCATTATGCACTAAACAAATATTTAAATAAACTAGAGCAGGCATACAATTAAAATAAAGTAAAATTAAACAGGTAAATTATGTTTTCCAAGGTTTTAAAATTCCTACCTATCTGGTTATCACTATAAGTCTTGTACATGTGCTTACTGTAAGTATCAATCTAATATTATTTTTATAATTTTAAGGGTTGAATGCAAAATAAATAATTTTTTATTTAAAACAAAAACAAAAACCGCACAATCAAAATATTTTATATTTGACGAGTTGTACAAGTACAAGTACAAGTACAAGTACAAGTACAAGTACAAGTACAAGTACAAGTACAAGTACAAGTACAAGTACAAGTACAAGTACAAGTACAAGTACAAGTACAAGTACAAGTACAAGTACAAGTACAAGTACAAGTACAAGTACAAGTACAAGTACAAGTACAAGTACAAGTACAAGTACAAGTACAAGTACAAGTACAAGTACAAGTACAAGTACAAGTACAAGTACAAGTACAAGTACAAGTACAAGTACAAGTACAAGTACAAGTACAAGTACAAGTACAAGTACAAGTACAAGTACAAGTACAAGTACAAGTACAAGTACAAGTACAAGTACAAGTACAAGTACAAGTACAAGTACAAGTACAAGTACAAGTACAAGTACAAGTACAAGTACAAGTACAAGTACAAGTACAAGTACAAGTACAAGTACAAGTACAAGTACAAGTACAAGTACAAGTACAAGTACAAGTACAAGTACAAGTACAAGTACAAGTACAAGTACAAGTACAAGTACAAGTACAAGTACAAGTACAAGTACAAGTACAAGTACAAGTACAAGTACAAGTACAAGTACAAGTACAAGTACAAGTACAAGTACAAGTACAAGTACAAGTACAAGTACAAGTACAAGTACAAGTACAAGTACAAGTACAAGTACAAGTACAAGTACAAGTACAAGTACAAGTACAAGTACAAGTACAAGTACAAGTACAAGTACAAGTACAAGTACAAGTACAAGTACAAGTACAAGTACAAGTACAAGTACAAGTACAAGTACAAGTACAAGTACAAGTACAAGTACAAGTACAAGTACAAGTACAAGTACAAGTACAAGTACAAGTACAAGTACAAGTACAAGTACAAGTACAAGTACAAGTACAAGTACAAGTACAAGTACAAGTACAAGTACAAGTACAAGTACAAGTACAAGTACAAGTACAAGTACAAGTACAAGTACAAGTACAAGTACAAGTACAAGTACAAGTACAAGTACAAGTACAAGTACAAGTACAAGTACAAGTACAAGTACAAGTACAAGTACAAGTACAAGTACAAGTACAAGTACAAGTACAAGTACAAGTACAAGTACAAGTACAAGTACAAGTACAAGTACAAGTACAAGTACAAGTACAAGTACAAGTACAAGTACAAGTACAAGTACAAGTACAAGTACAAGTACAAGTACAAGTACAAGTACAAGTACAAGTACAAGTACAAGTACAAGTACAAGTACAAGTACAAGTACAAGTACAAGTACAAGTACAAGTACAAGTACAAGTACAAGTACAAGTACAAGTACAAGTACAAGTACAAGTACAAGTACAAGTACAAGTACAAGTACAAGTACAAGTACAAGTACAAGTACAAGTACAAGTACAAATTATGCTTGCAAGAAATATTCACCTTAGTAGAGCGCCTGAGGCTTTAAAAAGATGAAAACCTGCAGTTTTTTTATAGCAAAATTTTCAAGTGAGTATTACTCAATAAGTAAAAGTCCAATAAAAAAATGTTTGCTTTAAAAGTTTCTTATTTTTTATGATTTATAAGAATATGTAAAAAATGGGGTTTCAATTTAAAAAAAAAAGTTCACCTCAGTATGGCCATATTATGGTCAGCTATAAAAAAATGAATTTCGCCAAAATGTTTCCGCCAAATAACTATAAAACTTCTGTCTGAATCTTTTTTTTTAAAAATGCATATTTTCGGCAAAATTTAACTGTAACGCTTTAATTTAAATACCCGGTATAAAAAAGTTTTCTAAATTAAAAATTGTGATTTGATTAAAAAAATGATAATGGCAATAATTTTAATAGTATATTCAGATAGTAATCGGAAAAAGAAGTAAATGAAGTAAAATTAAATAGAAAAAGAAAATTACTCATAAAATATTTTTTTAATTTAAACAATTAACATTTTTATACATATTAATACATATTAAATATTTTCTTTGTTTTCATTTATTGGAATAATAGGTGGAGTATTGAAACAACTATTTTCGCTGCACTGTGAACAGTATGCTACAGTATGAGTTACTTTTCCGACATCCACAAGCAGCTCCAGATCCCTGTTTACATATGCAATAGATTATCCGGAGCTGGTAATTGATTAATTGTTACTGGGATAAACATGTTATTAGATGGATTTAAAAAAACACAAAAATAGAACATGGAAAGTACATAGAGTATGCAATATTTGTATTTTGGCAAAAAATATATTTGACGTGTAAATCTACAACTCAAGGTAATAGCGACGAGGCAGAATATAAAAGAAAAAGAGGTAACAGTAAAATATTAATCACCAGGGTGACTCCAAAAAAAAAACATCCTGTAAATTTTAACTCCATAGCTTACGAAACATATCTGCCAATATAATGGCTGACATTGTAGTTTATTCAACACCATAGCAAGAAGTTCTAGAGAATAAAATACAAACTTCTCTTAACATCAATATCACAGCTATTAAAACTTCATAGGCATCATTAATACCATCGCCATTTAAAAGAACCTTGTTTTGGCGTGAGGACAAAACAAAGATGTTTAAAGGAATAAAAAGGAAAAATACCTTTAGTTATAACTTCAGAACTATGACAAGAATACAACAGATAAAAAATGCTAGAAAAGGAACGAAAGGAAAGGGAAAAGCTTAACAGAAAAATTCAAAATGAAGAAAAAATAGAAAGTAAAAATAAATTACAAGAAAATAATATTTTTTTGTTTTTCATTCGTGTTTTTGGCTTTGACAACTTGCGTCATTATCCTCGTGTTCTATGTAGGTTATGGATTGTACTAGTAGTCTAATACTCCATAATGCACAAGTGCTGGTACTCTAATATTCCTGCACCTCTACATAGAGGCCTATATTTGATTATTTTCACATCGTCACACAATTTTAATTGACTTCATTCATTTGCTATGTTGTATATAGGGTGTATCAAAACGAGAGGTTACGATTTTCTCAAATTTTTAAATGGAATACCCTGTATTAATTAATTGGAGATATAACATATAGGGTATTCCATTTGATAAATTGAGGAAATCGTTACCCCGCACCCTATATACAACATAGCAAATAAATGAAGCCTTTTAAAATAATTTAACGATGTGAAAACCATAAAATATGTATAACTACCTGTAGGGTATTTTGCTTTAAAAATGTATGTTTGGTGAGCCCCTCATTAATGGACCACTCTGTTTTTGGTATCGTTGGATAGGTAAATTTATAAGGAATTTAATGCTAAAATAATATATAGTGTGTTGAAAAACTGAGTAAATTGAACTTAAAATTAGCCATATTTAGGACATGTTTCAAGACACTTTATATAACATAAATCAGTTCTATCACCACTATTTGTTAGCTTAGTATCTAATATTTCAAACAATTTTGAAATTATTATAAATCTACCTAAATTATGAAAATTTATCATTTTCTAATTTCGTTAAAAAATTAAATGCTTGGCAACCGTGTAATATTTTTAAAAAAATTCTAAGGTTAAATACAGTATTACCAAACCATTCTAAAACTGAAATAAAATATGGGGTGTTATAATTAAAAAATATACATTTTTATTTGCTAGACAAAAACCCAACATCCTGTGTATCTAAAAATATTTTTAAAATAAGTATTTTTCAAATCCATATAACTTTTATTTACAACTTGTTTGCGGGTTAATAACACAAATTGAATTATTGAACAATTACGCACTAATGGGACACCCTGTCGAACATGTACAATAAGAATATGTTTGTTAAAACAATGTTTACTAATAAATTTTATTTTTATTAGTATTTTTCCCTCTTTTTTAATTTATTGTCATCCATTTTTCTACAATGTCAGCTATTGGAACATATTTGATACATAAAGCAGTAGTTCTTATACCTATGTCATATACAGGTACATAGGTGTGTTAGTAAAAAAATTATCATTTTTGAGAAAAAATATTTAAATAACTAAATAGAACCCAGTGCATTCAATAGCTAAATGTATGAGTGATCAATTGTTTTTTACATTTTTATTTTAACATTTTTGTTTAAGAAAATTATTTTTATTTTAGTAAAATTACATCCTTATAATATCATCTACTGGTACACTTTCTACTCAATCATTATTTTTTTATATTTTTTGTTTAAATAATTAAAAAATCAAAATTACAAAAAAAAAATTAATGAACTCTGCAATTTATATCTAGTATAAAAAACAAAATTCCACTTCACCATATAAATTTATTCACTGCAGCAAAAGTTCGAGGCTAAACCCCCAGGCGCTCTACTACATGTAAAGAATGCGATTTGTAAACTGCCAAGCTCAATAGTGTATTACCATTTGGATAATAAATACGTAAAAGAAAACACTTAATCAGCTGGACCATATGATGTAACAGAAATAAATAGAACCATATTTAAATTTTTTTAATTATTTGTGTGTTTCTTCTTAGTTTAATCGTGTTAAATCGTTTTAATATAAATTTTATTGTATTTTCCGCATGTGTATTTTGATATGCACGAAACAAAATAAATTGTTAGTACGTAATATATATTTTTCTGCGATCACTATCCAAAGTAGGCTTTAGCGCTTCGCAGTTCAAAGTAACAGCTTTGTCGCTCGCCGAGCGGAAAACTTGACAGCTTTGTTGTTCGCCTAATTTAAATTAGATATACCATAATATTATTTCTTTTTAATAAATTATTTTAACGTTATTTGTACGTAGTTTGATATTTTTTGTTTTATTATCCCAGTTAACATTGAATTTGAATATCAACTCATGTTTTCATGAATAACGTAGATATAGGCAACACATTATACACTACTTACGTCAAATTTTCAGTTTGTATATCTATTTCTTAAAATAATGTGATCGTAGAAAAAATTTTGTATGCATTTTGAGCGAAAAGTTTGTTGCCGGTTTCGACAGATTGCCGCGCTCTACTACACGTCGCGCGGAAACTTACTGTTTCAAGCGGCAAAATATCACTTTTCGCTCTTAATATACAAATATCCATTATAATTATTAATTTTAATATGTCAATGGTATCTTTGTCATTATTGATTTCTGTTTAGTTGTTATTCTTAATTATGTGTTCCTTACTGATTCCCATTTAGTTTTCCCCGCTATTTTTCTGAAATGTTTCATTTTCATTGATAAATATAAGTAATGAAAATCAACATTTACACTGTAACTACATATAAAAATTCATCGAAGAATACATGTAAATTCTGACTTTTATACTTTAGTGCAAAGGGTATAATTTCTATTCCATGTTCAGCTTCGGCCCCTATAAAGTAAAGAAAAACAATAATTTTATGGAATTATTCTCTAAACAAAATTTTTTGAATAAATAACAATTATAATGTATATTCGTCTTTGAAGTTTTTCCCTACCAATAACTTTACAGGTCAGTAACTCAGTAACTGCGGACCACCCTATATAATTTACATGTATAAAGTGAAATGTTTCGTTGGCTCCAAGCCAAATCAACCTAATACATTTTGGCGATGTGACAAAATAAATCTATAGTATCGCCACGTATTCATTTAAAGTATAATGTAATTTAAAAAAAGTGAATTTTTGTGACAAAATGGTGAGATGGAAACAAAACTATAATATGCCTTAAAAAATGATATTATTGTGACCAAATTTGTGTCAGGGAATAGTTTTTGGTAGTATGCATAATAAAAGAAAACCTGTAGAAAGGGTTGATAAATATACATTTACGCAGGTGCTCACACTGTACAGGGAATAACACCGATAATCGGGTATAAAATCCTAAGTCTCTTTTAAAACATACTACAGGATGTTAAAGTTAGTGGGAAAACCAAGAGAATTTTTTTTATTTTCCACAAACTGTTTGTCGACATTTAACCACCAGTGATATAATTAGGGTAGGCTATAACATTTTTTTTAAGCGTACAATAACTATATTACTTTTTGCAACACAGACCGTAGAATATCCTATTATTTTACTAGTACAAAAATTAATTTTCATTATTGTACTACTTACTACTAAAATAGTAATGAGAAATGCTTGCATGGGGCGTTGTAATCGAGTAGGTAGGAAGTAGGAACTATCGTTTTTAAACTTATTTAATTTGACGTTTGTCTGTTTTGAAAATTTTGTTGAAAAATGTCTCAAGAATTGCAATGTACGCCTCCAAAATTAGTAGAAATAGCTAATTCCATCAGTATTGAAACACTAATTCCAACGCCAAAGTATATGATTTTGCATATGAAAAATTTTTAAAATGGACCACAGAAAATAATGTTTAAAAGTATAAGGAAAATGATATGATTGCTTACTTCACACATTTGTTAAAAAAATACAAAAGTTTAACACTATGGGCACAATATTCAATGGTTAAGACTGAATTAAATATCAAACAGTGTGAATATGAATAAATTCCCACTAAGCAAAATGAACTTGGTGCAAATTTTTTACAAGCTTGCAAATATAAATGCAAGTTTCCTTGAAAGTTTGCTAAATATTTATTAACAGCTTCCAGCAAGTTTGAATCTGCCTCACTCTAAACTTGAAAACGTAATCTTACTTGCCATACTTTATGTAAACTTACAAAATAAACTTAATGTTGACATACAATCAAAAACTTATTGAAAGTTTAAAATTAAATATTATCTAGGAACTTTAATAAATAAATTACCTGAAAATTATCAAAAATAAACTTAATGCTAACATACAATCAAAAACTTATTAAAAGTTTCATTTTAAATATTATCTAAAAACTTTCATCAATAAATTATCTGAAAATGTTCAAAATCACACTTGACTTACACTGTTAAATTTAAACTTCTATCAAACTTACCATTATAAATTCGCTTTAAACTCTCAGGATTTCATTGTCTTTATACCAGGTGCCCCAATATATTTTGAACCTTTCTAAACTGCAACTTTTAAACTACTTGAAATAATGAAATGCAGTTTTTGCCAGTCTTTTAAGTTTTATGTATTTTTTTGTGCATTCATCTTTTTAGGCTTACATCGGCTTAATCGGGTATGATATTTGTCATATTCGGTTAGACTGGAAGTAAGTCAAATGATGAATACTAGAAAAACA